GTATGGTTTCTGCTCCAAGGCAAATACTTCATTAAGTAAACCGTGTTAATTTTGAAAAGTTGGAGCCTATAATGTCAAATTAAAATCCTAGTTTAAAATATACATAAACTTAAGGATAATTATTTTCAGCCTCTTAGAAATTTATAAGTAACAAAATTTAATAAAATCTGATTATTGAACCAAGTGCATTGGAAAGCTAAGTAACTACGGTCATTGATTCACCTATTCAGGTAAGGAAGAAGGAACTAGATTTATTGAGAAAATTCATACATCAAGTACAGAGTTCAAATTAGATCATGCCCAAACTCCTCTGTCCCATGGTTCTTTTTTTACTAATTATTATCATTATCATAGATTCGAAATTAATGCCAAAAATAATAAAAATAGCTACTGCTTACTGATTACTGATCATTTGCCAAACTACCCTGCAAGGTAACTGCCATTAACCTTATTTTACAGATGAGGAATCTTAAGCTCAGAAAGGTTGAGTAAATTGCCCAAGATTATACAGTTATCAGCCAGAATTTAAAACTGAGTCTGACTTTTAAAACCATGTTCCTTCATGCAGATGTCTAATCTGATGGATTTTTACATTTAAGATTAACAGATATGTTAAGTTTTGTTTGTTTGTTTGTTTTTTCCTTTCAGAGGTAAGGAAGATAGAATCTATTCCAGGTCTTTCTTGAATGGAACTTTGTTACATTTAAGCCATCACCCCAAAGCAATTAAGCAAATACTATACTTATATATTAAACCTATAAGGCACTTTACTAGGCTCTGGAAATTATTCCCCAGTGTAACAAATCAGTCACTATTCCCTTTATAGGCAAAATGGCATGCCACATGGGAAAATCTTATGGGGAAAATAACATTGAGCTGAGCCTTAAAGAATGAATGAGATTTCAGTAGTAGTGAAGATACTCCAGCCAGTGGTAATAAAACAAATAAGCATAGTGGAATTAAAATTCAGTGAAAGAATGGCAAGTAGTTCAATGTGGCTGAAATATTAAACTTTATGAGGTTAAGTTCACATAGAACTTATTATTAACAAAATAGTAAGAACAGTATATATATTCAGGATGCTATCTTATATCATATTTGAGTAGCTGCTATTATGCAGAGTGCTATGGATATACTAAGAGGAATGATACCTGAGGTCCCTGGAACACATAGTCAAGCAAGGGAGACAGTCAATGCAATAAATTGTAATATCTCAGACCAATTTAAATAATATAATATGGGTATAAAAAAGCACCTTATTATAATCTAGAATCAAACTTAGAATCTCAGAGTGTGCACACACACACACACACACACGCACACAACTACTCCGATTAGCATCTACAGTTTTTGCTCTTATAATTTCAGAACCTTATATATTCTATTCCTTGAATGCTGAATCCCACATTTCTATGTACTGTGTGGCTCTACAGAAAGATCAGTTCCCAGAAAACCCTTTTTATCTCCTATTTCTCCTTGAGTAGTTTTAAAGGTTCTCCCATTGCACCAGTCATTTAGAGATGAAGGCAATAAACATTTCCTCAAACCATGTGATCTGCTGTCTTGCTACCAGTTTCAGTGATACACAGTATTAGAATGATGGAAGAGTTTTCTTCAGCATGGGATAGTGCAGAGGTAGGCTCATGAGCTATATGGAATATTTTTTACAGTTTTAAATGGTTGGAAATCAAAAGAAGAGTAATATTTAATGACATGGAAATTATATGAAATTCAGATTTCAGAACCCATAAAGGTTTTTTTAAACCCAGCCGCACCCATTTATTTACCTATTGTCTCTGACTTGCTTTCACTCTATAGCAGCAGACTTTAGTAGTGACAGAGACATTCTGGCCAGCAAAGCCAAAAATATTACCTACCTGACCCTTTACAGAAAAGTTTGCTGCCTTTCAGTATAGTGCATGATATTGTGGAAAGAAAAGAGTAAACCTAAAACTGTGAGGGATGTATCTACAAAAATAAAGGTGATGTCAAGAGTAGTTTTCGGAGTTAGAGGAGAGCCATGGGAACTATTCTGCTGACCCGAAGAATTGGATGCATGGCCTCAGATATCGAGTTAATATAAGTTTCTTCCATATATTTGCCTCTGGTCCCTGAATTTAGCAATAAATCTTCTGTAACAAAGGTTCCCAGAGTTAGCAATGTATGTGAATCCACTTCTCGAGTCCCTTGTCTTTCAATCTTGTCTTCAAATATATATATTTGGGCCAGATAATAAGAAGTATTTTACTTATTGTATAGTACTCTATTGCCTTGAATTTTAGGTGTGGTAATAAAAAAAAATTTGTGTGTTTGATGTGGGAGTACTTTGAAGGCAGCTCAACTGAGTTATTTCTAATTTACCAGGAACATGCTTGCTGTCAATTTTATGTTGGTTAGTTTTTCACAAATTAAACTTTCTCTTTTATCTCTTCTTTTGAAACTTCAGACATGTAGGTATTTTAAAAAATCAAGTTATTAATGGTATCTTTTCTCTTTCTTAAAAGCATACAAAGATCATCAGGAACCTTTTAAAGCTTGATGGAGATTTTATGGGGTAAAATAAATGGAGGTATCAGTCTATGAAGAATGTTTATGGTTTGATCTCTCCAGTATCTGTAGAAATCTTTCATATTTCTATGAACAAAAAGAACTCTGATCTGAACAAGGGTGCTATTAGGTAGATTGTCACCATATTGAACCTCTGGAGGGCTATGTCTAAGGATTCATCCTTTAACATTTTTATTACTGATGGTAACAAAAACATAGATGGCATCAAAATCATGTAATAAATTAACTAGGAAGGAAGAAGTAATACTCAAAATTATGTCAGTAGTCTAGAATGCTGGGCTAAAACCTAGAAATTAGAATTTAACAGAACAAATTAAAATCTCACATATAATTTTTAAAAAAAACATTTAAAAATATAGTATGAGTACACTGGCTTGAAAAATTCAAGAAGAAAATGATCTAGGTAGTTTATTTACCAACCCCACATGAACTATGAAAAAAACTATCAAAGTTTTTTTAAAAAAGTGATATTAGGTTGTATTGTGCCAAGATCAACAAAATAATAATCATGTAATACTTTGACCAGATAATACATGGAGTAGTTTCTTCGAATTTGGTTGGCACATTGTATCAGCAGTTTTGATAAGCCATAATAACAGTTATGAGGTCTAAAAACCTTATAGGGATAAGGAATGATTGAAAATTGGAAAAGAGAGTGGCAGTTAACAGATCGTGTTATATAACAGATCATGTTACATAACAGATCAATACCTGATATAATGTCAGAAGAGAGAATGGGTCTTTCTATACTGCTCAGACTACAGCCCTTCACCTGAAGTTAGGTTCAGACTTGTAATGAAAACCTTATTAAAATAATATGCACCTAGAGATGGAAGAGACTACCTCACAGTTTGAAAGAAGCCATTGGCATTTGGCATTAGGTAAAAAATCAATCAAACAAACAAACAAAAAACTAAGTGATTTCTAAGTTGCCTTTCAACTTAAGTCTTGAGTATTTATGGGTGATGACTATCACGACTTAACTATTTGATTAATAAATTTTTTGAGCACTTACTATATGGTGAGTACCATGCAATAAAATTAATTTTATTGAGCACTTACTTCATGGCAAGTACCATGCTAAGCAATTGACATATATTGTATACTTTAATTCTCACAACAATTCTGTGAAATAGATTCCGTTTGTGTTTTCTTTTACAAGTAAGGAAAATGAGACTTAAAAAGATTAAATAAATTGTCCAAGGTTATGTGTCAAGTTAAATCCCATTTGTGGGATTCATGCTCACATCTGTCTAATTCCAGAGCTAATACCCCTAATCAGTACTGAGTCCTGTGTGAGTTGCTTATTGGTTTAATAACAAATGGTAGCGTAGTGTTTCAAAATAATGCTTGTATCTATCTCTATAGGGCAACTAGACATTTCCAGCTGATGATGTAGTTGAAATGATATATAAATGAGCTCCTTAGCTTTTATAATTTCGGCAGATGATATTAGAGTCAATTAGTAACATGAAATTCATTATTTTAGGAATTCTGATAACCAGTTTTTCTTAAAAAGTCAAATGGCATTTTAAAAGATTTAAATCATTTTTATGTTAAATGTGTACAAAAATAAGTTATTTTTATGTATAACTATAAAATATATTGACTTTACTATTTGAGTTTTCTTTAGAAGAATCAATTTTGAAGATTTATAAATTATATTTTATTTGATTATAGATGTATTCTATTAAATTATTAAGGGCTACTTTTATGATTGCCTATGACCTAAATTTGAATACCCATTGATATCTAAATCTGAATATTTGGAAATTTTATTAAAATTTATCACCTCCGAAAAGTGGTTAACTTTAACAGTTAATGTTTTTGTTTAATTGTAGGGGGAAATTTGCAGTAGTGAGGAAATGTATAAATTCTGGATTCTGGAAAAGAATTCGCAGCAAATTCATGAAATTGCTGCACTTGAACTAGCACAGGGCTGTCATTGGGTCATTAATTTACATGATGTCTATGAGACTCCAGAAATTATCTTAGTTCTGGAGTAATAAGTGTTGTTTTCCTTAGACTGAATTCGTTTTGATAGTCCGCCCTTTCTTTACAGGATGCCTCTCATTTGTGATAATATGGCAAGGCCTGGTTCTCTGGAAATCTGAAGATTTTCTGGATTTTTTTTTATGTGTTCCTCATATTAATTTGTTATGTTCCAAATTTGCAAATATGAATGTATATTAGATTTTTCACATTCATTATTTAATGACATTCTTCTGTAATAGGATAAAGTTCTTATATTCCTACGAGTGACATTTTTAAGAATGTAATATCAAGATTAAAATAAAAGACATTTTACAGTCCCTTACAGGTTTGTATAGTCTGAATTAATCTCTCTCTTTTTTTTTTTTTCCAGAAACAATTTGTTTTGATTCATACAATGTTTTCAATTTGAGTAAGTAGGGATAGCATAGAAAACAGCTTTGGAAAATGGACAGTTTTTTCTTAAGAAATCCTATTTTCCTCTTTGCTTCTCCTGCCAAAGGAAAAGCTTGAATGATTTGAATATATTAAAAGCCTTAATACATCAATAATCACAAAAAGAAAAGACAAACTCAGGGGAAAATAGCTCTAATTTTTGTTTACATAAAATAATTAAAATATCTTTAATAATAAAGATCTTACAAATATTGTATACACAAAACATGAACCTCCAAGTTTAAAAAAGTGGAAAAAGAATATGAAGAGAAATTCCACACAGATACATATATGTAAATGGCCTATATGTACATGAAAAATATTGATTCTTAATAAGTTTTACAATATAAATTAAAAATAAGTTGTTGATTTCCCCTTAGAAGGTTACCAGAGATTATAAAGAAAAGCTATATTCAGGTGATGTTGGTCAAAGGTTATAGAGTTACAGGTATGCAAATTTAAAAGTTATAAAGGTTATAGAGTACAGCATGGTGAGGATAGTTGATAATATATTATATACTGGAAATTTGTGAAGAGGTTAGATCCTAAATCTTCTCAACATAAACACAAAATGGTAACTATGTAGAGGTGATGGATATGGTACTTAGCTTGATTGTTGTGAATATATATATATAAAATATCTCTACGTAGAAACATTAAGTTTTGGACCTTAAATACATTTAATTTTTATATGCCAAAGATATCTCAATAAAGATGTTTAAAAAAAAGTGATAATCATGGGTTCTATCTGATTTATACTACCGATAGAAGTATTAATTGGTACAACTTTTCTAGAGGATAGCCTTAAGAAAAACATATACTCTTTAACCCAGCAATTTCACTTACATAAATTTTTTCACAAGGAAATAATAAGGCAGTTATGTAAAGATGTATTACAAAAATGTTTAGTGTAGCATTGTTTATATAACAAAAATAATCTGGATGTTTAACAGAAAGGTGTTGGATAAATAAATAATATCATAAGATGGATTACTATGCAGTCATTTAAAAAGATAAGGTAGATATAAATGTATAGACATAGAAAGGATTTTTTAAATGTATTGTTAAAAAGAAAAACGCTGTTAAAAAATAATGATGTGTATAGTATTATCTTGTTTTTATTTAAAAGCTTATAGAGGTATAGAGGGAAAACAGTCTGGACTAAAATAGTGTCTTCTTCTTGATAATATAATCCAAGAGTCTTGTGTTCATATGTTTTAATTCAGTAATTCACTTGTAGGAAAATCTTCTAAAGGAATAATAAAATTCGCACAGTGAGAAGCACAAAAGTGTTTTCCATAATGTATTTTTAAATATAATAATAAAAATATCCAAAAATGATGGAATGGTTAAGAAAGGTAGTATATGTGAATAATGTCTCAATAAAGTTTTTTAATTAAAAAAAAATGTTGGTTTAGGAATCTCAAATGTAAGTTCCCTGCCTACCTAGATTTTTGGTTTCAGTTTATTTTGGAAAGGTCGAGGCAGAATTGGAAATTGATCTAGAAAAGACTCTGAACTATTATTCTCTCACCAAGATCTTCTCATTCCTCTCACATTCTCACAAAACCCGCTCTTCAGACTTTACTTTTTAACTTTTCTCAGTTCTTCCAGTCTTTCAGTCAGCTCCTGAGTTTTTCTCTTTCTTTTTTTTCCCCTTCTCTTCTTTAGTAGTTATTTCAACTAATGTCTCACCAGCACCTCATGTTATTTCCTTCTTCCTCTTGGGTTGTCCTCTGCAACTCCTTCTGCCAGTTTGTCCCTGGACACATGCTGTGTGTCAGTCTCTTGCACATTCTTGGGAGGACTTGCATTGTGTTTGATCTGCTTTTTACAAGTGTTAAGAATTCTTGGTATAGAATCCTCAGTCAGGTTCTTGGTATAGTTTGGTAATTCTTTACATAATCTCTCCTTGGCTTCTTTTAACATCTCCCAGGGGCTAATCAAAATCTTTACATACTTACTGTGTCACCTACTTCCAACTTTATTAGACACCTAGCCTTTTCTCCCCTTTGGAGAAAATAAAGGCCATCAGACACACAATTCCTCCTCATCACCCTGTCTTTACTGCTCTCATGCCCTTCTCTTCTGTTTGAAGGAAGAGATTCTACTGCTTAACTCCAAGGTTTTACAGACGTCAACCTTTTCTAGGACCTGTGTTTTTTAATCAATTTTCTAACCTTTCTTAGAGTTTTAGTTCCTCTTCTTAGGAGGGTTCTTTTATTTCCATTTTTTTATTATTTCAATCTCTTCAATCCTAAAATTCCTTTTCCTGAGCTTTGACACCTTTAAAACTATTGTCCTGCCTTTATCTTTCCTTTACTTCTGTTCTCCTTAAAAAGAATAGTCTAAATTTACAGCTTTCTTCACTTTCCAATCAGTTTTCTTCTATTTCATTAATCTATTCATCTGTTCATGCCAGTACTCCATTACTTTTCAATCTAATGTCATCTGTTCTTCTAAATCTTTCATGAGGTCATCAGCTCTGTTTGCCAAGACCTATCTCATTTTAGTATTTGTTCTACTTCTTACTCTCTTTAAACACTTGATATTATACCTTCTTTTGTGAAATTATGTTCTTCCTTTGCTTTCATGTGGCCTTTAAAAAAAACTTCTCTCAGAGCCTTTTAACTTTCTACTGTATAAATACAAATGCTCTCCGGAGTTCATTACTGTTACCCTTGTCATACATTTATATTCTGTACATTTACCCTGGTTGATAACAATCTATATTTTGTGGCTTCAGCTATTATTTACATGCTGATTATTTCCAAATCTGTCTCCAACTTTAGATTTTCTGCTAAGCTCAGCTGCCTACTTCATATCCCATATTCAGCCATGTATCACATAGATTCAGGATCAATGTGTGTACACTCCTGCATTTTCTTTCTAATGCCTAGTTTTCTTTTGTTCCCCATTCCCAATGGTATCCCCATTTATTTCATAACTCAAGCTAGAAACCTTGAATCTATCCTTGATTCCTTTATCTCCTTTAATGCTCATGTAGAATTACCAAGTCTTCCACTTAAGTCTCGCCTGCTTGTGTTTCCCTTTTCTCTGTACTTGCTGTCTCTCTTCTGTATTGGGTCCTTATTGTCTCCCATGCTCTCATAGTAGCTTTTTAGCTGATCATCCTGGAAGGATATAGTACACTTAAGTGATAATAGGGATAACCTCCAAATGTGGCTCTAGGATTAGGGAAAGGGTCTTCAGTGGAGGGTATTTGCTTTATTTTCACTTTTTGCATTTAAAAAAAAATGTTTTTAGGTACTCTATAACCAAAATTCTTGAGAAATTTTTACTTGAAATATGTTAATAGATTTTACTATTTAATTTTAAAAATATATTAATATATTTTATTATTAATGTTTGATTTATAAAGTTTTTAAACCAGTATTTTTATTTTTAGCTTTGGAAATGCTTCACATTCTTATTTTTATTAAAAAGAAAACAAATGGATGTAGGCATGTAGGTGGACAAAAGTTTACACACACTCAAATTATAGTTTATCCAGATAAAGATGTTTAATATGTATAAATATTAAGAACTAAAAGGGATTAAATATTTTAATAAGTTGGTTTTTTTTTAATGTATATAATTAAAATACACTTCTATCCTTCTGTAGTGCCGCTGGGGGTGAAATCTTTGACAACTGTGCTGTAGACAGAGAAGAAGCCTTTAAAGAAAAAGATGTTCAGAGACTCATGAGGCAGATTTTGGTAGGTGTTCACTTTTCACATGTCCATGATGTAGTTCATCTTGATTTGAAGGTAAGATCTGAATTACTTTACAATTTTGAGGTTGCTAGGGAATGACACTCCAGATGTAAAATATTTAACATTGATTTATTTAATCATTTATGAGTTTTTTGTGCTTTATTAGGTAACAAGAAAATAATATGGAGTCTTTACTCTTATCCTCTAGCCAATTAATTTTATCAAGGAGATAATATGCATGTGTATACATAGTAATATAAATAATAATAATTGCCCCCCAAAATGGAGCTTAGAGTATATTGCTGGCATAGGTGAAGGCTTCCTGGGAGAGACACTACTTGAGTTGACGTTTATAAAAAAGTTAAGGTTGAACCAATCAGGGTGGTGTAGTAGGAAAATTCTGTGCTTGCCTCCTCTCACAGCCACATCAACATTATGACTAAACTACAGAAAAAGCATGATTGAGAACGGCCTGAAGTCTAGCTGAAAAAAAGTCCTACAACTAAAGACATAAAGAAGCAGCCTCCTCCAGACTGGTAGAAGGGGCAGAAACAGACTGGGCTGGTCTCACACCTGCCTGTGGTTGTTAAAAATCAGGAGGGATAGCTCGGCTGCCAAGTTGCCCTGGAAGGAGCAAGGGGTCCCAGCACCACACATGGCTTTCCAGCCCAGGGTTCCAGTGCTGAGAAGAGAATTCTCCACATCTTCTGGCTGTGAAAAACAGCAGAGATTGTGGCTGAGTAAGACAGAGGGTGGCTGAAGTTCCAGGGACTCCTCTTAATGTGCCTGTGTGCAGACTTACTCACTGACTCACTCCCTCTGAGCTCCAGTGCAGGGGCAGCAAGTTTGAAAGGCACCAGGGACATATTGGGAAGAACTGAATTGTCTGGTTTCAGGGCAGGGGCTGGAGGGGAGGCTTTCTCCTAAACAGAAGTGCTGGTAGAATCTATTATTTTTTTGTTGAGCCCTCCCCGCTTTCCATCTTGCAGATACAGGGGACCACCATATGTGAGTTTCCATTAATGTTTTTAACACTGGTTTCCCTGCTCTGGTGATCCCCTGGTGAGACCTACCCCCACTTAATTTGTGGTTCCACCCAAGCCACTCCCAGAGGCTTTTCCATACAAAGGATCTGTCTTGGCTCATGCAGTAGACTTTCTAAAATCTCTCAAAGGTTCATTAAACCCATCTGGCTTCAGTGTGTCCCTTACCTCTTGTTAAGCAGCCCCAAGCCTAGCACTTGCGGCAGCCAGCCTCAGTTCATGGCTTGACCTCTCTAGGCACCTCTAAAACCAGCATAGGTAGTGGCTGTCTGAGTATTGCTTGGTGGCTCATGCTAGGTGGCCCTGGGAAGGGCACAGGCCTACAGTGGGATCCCTACCAGGAGGCCTCGAGACTGTCACACCCATTGTCCTGTATTGGACTGAGCTGGAGCACCACACAGGGATGCATCTGAGGACAACACACCCATAAGGCAGACTGGGTAGACACCAGAGTCCTGCTAAAGCAAATCCTGCCAGTTGCTCACTAGCCATTTCTCACAACCAATCAGCCCGAGAGTCAGTACCTCCCACTGACATGCAAACAGAAACCAATGCTCAACTACAACAGGAAGACACACACAACCCATACAAGGTACATACCTAGAGCACCTGGCATAGATGAGTAGGGAAGACTGTTCCACTGGGCCCCACAGCACACCTACTATAAAAGGCTACTCTACTAAGACTGGGAGACACCTCATAATACATAATAACACACATGCAGCCAAACTGGAGCAACAATAAAACTTGTCCCAAATGAAAGAACAGAACAAAGCTCCAGAAAAAAGAACTAAACAAAATGGAGTCAAGCAATCTACCAGATGTAGAGTTCAAAACAGTGGTAAAAAGGATGCTCTATCAACTTTGGGAAGAGCAGATGAACTCAATGAGAACTTTAACAAAAATATAGAAAACATAAAAATAGAGAAAGAAAACAAAAAAGAAACAGTCATAAATGAAGAATATAATAACCAAAATGAAGAATACATTACAGGGAATCAGTAGATTAGCTAAGTGAAGAATTGAAACAGTGATTTAGAATATAAAGTAACAGAAAACATCCAATAAGAACAGCCACAAGAGAGAATCCCCCCCCCAAAAAAAAATAATAAAGTGAAAATAGTTTAAGGAGCCTCTGGGACAACATCAAATGTACCCAACATTCATGTCACAGAGGTACCAGAAGAAGAGAAAGAGCAAGTAATTGAAAACATATTTGGAGAAATAATGACAGAAACTTCCCTTACTTGGTGAAGGAAATAGACATACAAGCCCAGGAAGCACAGAGTCCCAAATAAGATGAACCCAAAGAGTTCATCAAGACACATCATAATTAGAATCCAGGGCAAAATAGCATAGATAATAGAGGCTTTGTTCATATTCTCATGTGACCACATCAAAGTTGTGACAGAAACACGCAGCAAACAGCAAGCAGAGCCACCTGGGGTATAGATGAACAGAAGCCCTACAACTAGGGAGAGAAATAAGAAACTGTAATAGTAAGAGTTAGGAGGGAGCAAAGATGCAAGGCTGCCCAGTCCAGAGCAGCTGAGTGGGAAA